TAGTATCCTTAAGCAAGACACTTCACCCACATTGTCTAGTATGAATGTGGTGAGTGTGAGTGATTGGTTGTGGTTGATGGGGCTGATGGAACAAATTGGCAGCCTTATTTCAGTTAGCTAAGCCCAGGGCAGCAGTGCAGTGAGGGAATAATGTACTGTAAAGCACTAAATCCAAAGCATTATTTTCTATCATTACTAAAAACATATTAAAATCACTAAATGTCCTATGAACAAGATGAAGAGATAAGCATTCAACTTCACCTGTTAGTTGTTTTTTACTGAATAGTCTTTTGATTGTCCTTTTATCCTTCACATCTGTCCCTTGTTTTAGATCTTGATTCTGCATCTGATTCATATGTGAAATCCATATGGAAAAGCACATAGTTCAACCTTGAGTGTCCTCTATGCAGCTGACTGAGAGGGTGTGACGGAGAGGAAGAGACACGGGAGGGGGGTGGATGATGCAAAGTCATCAATTATTTATGGGTGAAATCTAATAAGAGGTGGGAGTTTAGATGAGGAGCCACTATTGATAGAAAGACAGAGTCCCCATTTGCGGCAAAATCATTCCCTTGTACAAAAAATGAAAAATAAGATCTAACGCTAGCTAAATATGCCACTCCATCTTAGTATTTGCATCTATTTAGGATAATGTTCTCGAATGGTATTTTAATTAGATTGTATGTGACACATGACGTAGATACTGTTCTTATAAATGGAACTTGTCCCCATGTATGTGGGGATGCATAGTAATCCATGTGTTGGGGGTATGCATAAATTTGCATGCAATCATGAAGTAGATGGAATTGCTCATTAATCAGTGTGTTGGCTATATCGTTATATTTCTGCAATTTCAGCCATTACTGCTCCTGTATACTTCCTGGCCACATGATTACAGTTTTTTCCATTAACAAAGAAACTATCCAACATTTTAGTCATTTTGTAATGTATTTCACAACAAATCTAAGAAATGTTGTGAAAAAGTGGATTGTCTCAGTACCAAATGCACTCATCAATTGGTTTTTAAGGTTAGGATTAATTTATTGTTCCCATAGGGAAGTCTGTCCTTTGCAGGGGTTTGCAGGCTTTACTGCTGATGGGCATCTCCTCAAGAGCAGTGCAGTGCTTGCTGAGCCACCTCCATGACCTTATTGCTAGACTTGGTTAGGGCTACGTTCACTGGAGGATTTTACCTGTTGTGCATGTTTTGGGTTGATGGAAGAAACCAGAGTGCCCAGAGGAAACCACCCAGACACAAGGAGAAACATGCAAACTCCACAGGACCAGGCGACCTGATAATCAAATCCGGTACCTTCTTGCTGTGAAGGGCACCAGCCACTCAGCCACCATGCCATATGTAGCTGTAGTTTTGCCCTTGAATAGAAGAATCCACGAAAGTTGGTTTGGATGAACATTAGAGTGTGGATTATGACAATGAGTGTGTTCTATGACATTTTATAATTGGTGTTATTAGAATATGTAAAACAGCTTATGGCTGTAGCAGTTATTAGCATGTGGAAAAGGTCAGGGTTGAATCATGAAGCGTGGCGGTTAGCTGTCATCCTGACAACAGGGAGAGGACAGAACTTATTGACGATGATGCTGTGTTGAGTAACTACAGACTAGCCGCTCGTAAATTGATTTTTATTCATGACATGCCCCAGATTTGTAACTTTTTGTCATAATGGTTGGTTTTGAGTATGTATAAGATCTGGTTAAAAATGGCAAGATCATTGTTGATTAGGATTTCAGATTCTTAGAATGGAGGTTTGCTGACATTCTCGCTGTCTCCTGCAGCAGAAGACAGTTGTCTGTGTGAACAAGATAAGCTTTCAGTATTACTTGTAGAAATGAATTGTTCTACTTAGCGTTTTTAAGGATGTATCTAACTTAAGACTTACTGTTAAAAGTTAGACACACATATATGTATATACAAATTAAAAAGAAATAAACGTGCGTGTATGTGTGTGGGTATGAATGGTCTATGAAATTAAACATAAAAGTTTTAAAAAGTATATTTTCAAATATGGCATTGCATTTTTTATTTTTTCTAATTATTATATAATCTATAAGCTTTTATTGGCCACCTCTTCTACTAAAAGTCCATAGTTGCCCGTGAAGTCAGTTTTCAACACTTTTCAAAAACTAACTCTATAATTCTCTCATACATTTTCTGGCAGTCAACAGTATAATGATCCAGTACAGGTAAAAAGTGCCTCACAGTGGAGCCTCTGGGGCAGAGCTTGGACTAAATGTCAGCCTCTGTTTGTTGTGAACTGTTGTGCTGTCCATATTTGCATACTTATTTGATTAGTGGGCGAAGTGAGTGCCGCTTCACTTCCTCATTAGGAGAGTTTTGGTGTCTGCTCATGTGTGGATGCACTGACAGCTCAAGTGCTGCTCATACTGTACAAGGCTTGAGCAAATGAATCCTCTTTCTCTCAAGCACCAATAAATTGTCTTGTAATTGGCCCTTCAAAGACAATTTTCTATGTTCAACTGGGTTGTCTCTGTGGCTTGTCTGATCAGATTGCAGCAGGGTTTTGAGTAGATAGTTTTTGTTTATTTATTTCAAATGCATTTCACCCTGTAATTGTGGCTTCTGTGAACTTGCCACATAAGAGCCACTGAGAGTCTTCAGACAGGAGGAGTGGGAGCTGACAGCAGACCTCATTAAAGGTCATGATATTGATGATGATATTACAACAGATGATTCAGAATTTGTCACAATTTCAAACAGAGTATATTAGTTGATGATATGTAAAGCAATTTCTGTTCATAGTGTAGTACATAGTCATGTAGCACTTTTGGCCCAACTCTGAGGCAGACACAGCATTCTCAGCTCTGGCAGTTTAATGAATATCTCTCCTCTTTCTTTACCTCTGTTTTGGTTATGTCTGCTCTGACTTACACCTGTCCTTTGTGACTTAATAAGTGAGACAATTAAAAATGTTTAGTTACATTGGTTAGTTAGTAATAGAATACAAGACAGAGTCCAAGAAGAAAAAGAACAAGAAAAATGACCAAAGTGGATTATCTTTGTCACATACACAAAGTTAAGTACAAAAGCTGTAGTCCGGGTGCGCACTTGAAAGCCTATGGGGATGTACTGATCTATGCACTGACAGTCTCTAAATACAGGCACAACAGCAGCCGCCTGTCCTCTGTGACATGGCCTTTCTCTGTATCTCTGCACACGGCTCCGCTCCACAAATGTTAAAGGCACAGAGTCAGGGGAGATCAGACAAATGTTGGAACACATCAGGGACATTTACTGAAAAGGACCATTCAAGGAAAAAGGAAAGGTATACCTCCACAGCACATACCCAAAGTTAAACACAACCAAACCTGCAAAGCTATTTGGTCCAAAATGGCTACAAATTACAAAATATGTAGTTGTACACCCAGGATGATTTGGGGCTGTGTGTGGACATTTTCAGCCATTTTTCAGTTTTTAGCATGCTTTAGATTTGTTCAAATTTTAATTGTATTCCACACTTCACTTACTGCACTAGAAAGCTGGTCACACATTTTGCTTGGAGTCAAGTGCAAAGCGTCATGTTTTCATTATTCAATATGCACAGGGACTTATGAACAAGCATTTTTTATTATTTTGTATGTACATTTTCATCTTTGGTCTGCAATATTGAGTTCAGTTGGTGGTCTGTCACCTGCTTGTTTCTATGAATATGTCATTGCTCTGCCTGGAATGTTCCACAGTATGACTTTAAATCGTTTTAATTTACATTTATTAAATTGCATTTGGTTTTATACAAATATACCTAGAAAAACAGGCAATTTGACTGTGAGCGAGATTGCCTCTATATAGATTTTGCCTGTATCTTGGTTTGGTTTGGTCTCTAAAAGGTAGAATGCCACACTGTGAAACATTCCAGACAAAGCGATAACATCTCCATGGAGAAAAGTATTTGGCAATCAGAAAAGTTATACAATGCACCTTTAATCATTTGAAGAGAATGGCTGACAGTGCAGTGTACTAAGTGACTGGATTTGATGGTCATTCTAAAATGGTGGATCAGCAGAGGGACCTCATCTCCAACATGTTTGATCACGTATGAAGTCTCACATTGAATGCCGCACACTCCTAGAGAGACCTGCTCCGATTGGCTGAGCTGACCGCTTGCTGTGAGGTGAAAATGAAGTGTTACAGTCTTTTCTCACCTAGGCTTGCGGTGCCTTGTAGAGACAGATACGGGTTAGTGCTCCCATTTTTGCTCAAGCCTATAAGGTTACTGCCCCACACATCTGGAGCTTACAGGGAGAAAAGTGGCTAAAAATGGTTTTATGTTGAGCTGGAGGTAGACAAGAAGCAAAAGTCTGAAAAGTCGGCAGCTGGGATTATAAATACATAACCTTTGTTCGTGCCTCTGTCCCCTTTGTAACCTTTCTTTGTGAACTACAACACAAAAGCTTTTCAAAGCACAGCACCAAGGTCTGATTCTTCCTGACAAGAGCTGAATGCACAGCCTACACATCCAGGCACAGCTCTTTACCAAAATGTTTCTTTCCTTTGGTGATGTAAGTTGTGTTAATAAATAAACAAAATCATAGAAGTCAATATAATTACTAGTCTGCATTCAAATCAAACCTAATATATAACTGAAACTTTGTTATATATATTTTGAGAAATTAAATACTCAACCCAACCCAGAAGTCAGTGGTTCAATCCCAGCTCCAATCTGTACATACTATTGTGTTCTTGGACAGACACTTCACCTTTCTTGCTTATATATGAATGTGATGTCTTTGACTGAGTGAGTCAGTGTGGGTGATTGGAGGGGAAAATGGAGCTAGTCTATCCCTGTGCAGCTTGGGCAAAAGTAGTAGCCTGTTATCGGGGTGATTCTATAAAAAGCATCTTTGAGCATGTAGAAATGTCCTTTAAATCAAATGTTTACCAACAACTTTGAATAAAAGTTAATTTAAAGCAATTTCAGAATGGTACAAACCCTAAAGGTGCACTACATATTATTTTTCAGGTGGAGGGCCCATCACCTGATTACTTCAAAGGAGATGTTATTGCTTTACCTGGAATGTTCCACATGGTATACACCCCATGGAGAAACACAGATGACCACCTGGCAAAGTTTGAGATCAGGTCTGTGAAGAGACAAGCGTGCCCAGTGTAAGAATTTGTGCTATTCAATGTATCTATATATTTTGCCACACCACATTCTAGACAAAAAAAAACACCCTTTGAGATAAAACATTTTTCACTTTTTACCATATCAACTTTTTTTTTTCCTTTTCTTCTCTTTTCTTTAAATAAGGCAGTATACTCATATAAAAAATGAATGAGAATGTTGTCAAGTATCAAAAAAGAGCCAGGATTTCACAGGAGAACTCTCTTCAGGTCATGTCTGCCATATTGCTAGACTGGTTTTCCGCAAGCAGACAACAGAGACGACGAATGCTTCAAACACCATGAAAATGCATATTCAACCATCACAGGGACTTACAAAGATGTTTGATTAAGTAAAAAATTGCTTTTTGCATCGCCCAACCAGTATAAAGAATATATGTATAAAGCTTTATTTGAACACTTTTGTTCAAAGAGGGTACTGCAAAAATGTGACTACACTGCTCCCTTATCTAGTTTGTAGCAAAACAAGATGGTAGTTTGTTCTGAATTCAAATGTGATAAATTGGGTAAAATTACCAAAATTTGCCCTACATATTGGCCCAAGAATATTGTCAGAGCTATATAATCAGTATAGGCATCAGCCTCTGAAAAGAAAAAACAATGGGTGGACTTATCTGTAAGACTGAAAATGAAAGTAAAAATAAGACAAAAGTGTAACTTATTAAAGCAGCTTGTCTGTGTGTGTGTTGGAGCAGTATAGAGAGACCTGAGCCATGTGGTGATCAGGTACTGTTTTTGACACACCATGAATGAACAGCTGAATGGTTCCTTACTTGACTCCTCGCAGTCCGCCACACACCGTCTGTTCTATCACTGACCAATCTGGAGTCCACTGAGATATGTTCAAGCATCATTCTGTCACTCTGTCACTCACTTCAACTCACAAGAGCAACCAGCTTTACGCAAAATCCTTCAGATCTGTCTACTCATCTTTTTAGTAATACACTTTTAAAGTTTGTTTCACTCATACTAATCTGAGACATGGATAGGAGCTATATTTAGTCAGATACACTATTTTCTACTTTTTAAACGTACAGGCAACACTAGCTCAGTTGATCGAGCATTTGTCTACTGATCCAAAGGTTGGCGGTTCAAATCCCCCTCTCGACATAAGCACCATTGGTTGAGCAGTGCAATTCCAGCTCCCACAGGTGAATGATGTCATTGTGTGTCCCAGTGTCTGTGTACACTGGTGTATGAGTGTGTGTGAATGGGTGAGTGATATAAAGTGCCTTGAGTGCCTGGAAGGTGGAAAAGTGCTATATAAAAATTTGACCATTAAAATAATCTATATTTTTGATGGTTGTTTCATCTTACTGTTTAAATTATACTTGATAAGAATTATTTTGAATTAACTGTACAATAACTTGAGTAAAATTGTATCTTTACCCTTTTATTTTAAGAATGTGTAAAAAAAAAAGTGTCATTTTTATATACATTTATCATACCATCAGAAGTTGCACATTATTTCATAGCAATACAATATATTAAATGAGGTATCCAAGCTGTTCAAGAAGCCTTTGAATACTGTGTATGTAATCTATTTGTTGTACATCACTTGAATATTTTAATTTGAGTGCAATTCGGTTGTCTGGTTAATTTGACTCCTAAGCTGTTGATCACTTAACATGCCGGCAGACAGCAAAAAGCAGGTAATCCACGATGCAAACCCCAGTCAGGTATAAGAGGATTAGAGCCAGTACGGGCGTGCACACACAAATGCACGATTTTATCATCTCTGCTAAAGCTGCTATTATTTGAATGAAATGAAGAGATTTGATTTGTATTTGTTTTTGTAGGCAGCCACTGATCTGTAGCACGTCAGGCTAAGAAATGAAGACCCACCTGTCAGTATTGTTGTCACTAGTCTTTGTTACAGTACCTTGGCCTCCAGAAGCCGTCAGAAGCCTGCAGTGTGTACAGTAATAGTGAATAATGGTGAATAATGGTGAACGCCCTCATATCAGTCTGTTGGGCTCTTTTATATCACTTAGTGTTCATTGCAGTGTGACAGAAACATGTTGGAAGACAAATCCTCCCAAGTGTGACTGAGGGGAGAGCACACTCCGCATTGCAATTTTGGTTCAATGTTGTTGTGAGAGCGAAAACAAACCTTTCATTTCTGACACTACATACACATAATCTGGAGATATGATGGCTCATATTTTGAAAGGCTTATTAACAGCATCTGTTATCTTTTTAAAAATACCTTTTATAACTTTTAGGATAATCTGGAACCAACTTGCTCCCGTCATGGCCCCCATAAAGATGCAAACAGTGCTGCTTAAAATTTAAAGATGCTTCAGTAATTGTTGTTCACCAACAATTATAATTCTGCACAGTGTTCAATAAGGTTGTAGTCATGTAGTCGTTTAATTGATTAATCGGTTGATGTAGTCTTACTTTGTATTAGTTGATTAATTATTACATTCAGATTATAAGGATTTATATGGGACAAGTTTTTCTTTATATAAATTATAGTTTCCTAGTACTTTTTTTCTGCATAAAAAGGTGTTTTTTGCATGTCCTGTGCAGATGTAGTCTTGTGAGTGCTCAGAGACATAGAGATATGTTTTAGTTTTGAGGCCTTTTACCACACCACCTTTTAAGTCAACTAATCCTGATTGGCAGGATTTTAGTCAGCCAAAAATTTCTTCAGTGATTACAGCCATACTGTTCACGCTCAGTAAATGAGACCAGTGTTTTATTCATTATAACTGCTACTTTTAAAGGCACACTGCAACTTTTTGTGTTGGATTTCCTTTACCTGCTTGTCTCCATGGAGATGTTTTTGCATAGCCACAGATCTGACCTGTAATTGGGGCCTTCTTGTTCAAGTTTAATGCCATACTGTGGAACATTCAAGACAAAGCAATAACATTTCCATCCAGACATTTGTCAGATCGGCATTAGGAAAAAGTTACATGGTACACTTTTTAAAACAAACTGCATTTTAACTTCCATTGTCTGTCCTACATGCCATGTCTTATCAAGTTCTTTTGTGTCAGTAAAGCAATAACAATTTTCAAATCCAACTGGAACTAACTTCGGGAATCAACTGACTGTTCTTTCTTTGACAAGATTTCTGAACAATTAGCGTCTATTATGAATCTTCTGTTATCGCCGTGTCAACAGCGTGTGCAGCACAGTGATTGTGTTAGGGAGACGACTGCTGCTGCTGTTGGTGCTGGCGGACATTTTGATGTGCTTGTTGCCGGACTTGACATTTTTATTACAATCATTTTTCATAACCACACATTCTCCTCTTCACTGACAGCTGCCTCTCTTTTAGTCCTGTGATTCATATGTCTTTTCCTTTTGCCCATGAATGCACCGCCCATAAACTGTGAAGCGATTGGTCAGCGCATTGATTTATACATGCACACTTTTTACATGGCCACAGCTTTTGCCTCAGGACTTTGTCCAGTGTGGAACGAAGAGGAAGCAACGTCCATATTTGGCACATTGCTGTTTTCCATCATAAATATGTGCAGTGTGAAGTCAGCAAATCCAGCAGGGGTCAAAGGTGAAGGGGACAGGTAAAGACTTGGGTTCTCATCCCTGATCTCGATGCCCCCATAGTCACCTCTGGCCACTCCGTGTCTCGCTGGTTGGTTTCCAGAGCAGCATGCCAATTAGTGTGAGTGTATTGATCTCACTGCGTTACATTGACTGTCCCTCCTGACCTGACGTTCCTTAGGGCCCAAGATCAATAAACATGATCATTGATTAGGGGTTTAATGAGCATGGATTTAGTTGCAGCTCTTGGTGGGAGTAACAAAAAAACAATTATAATGTTTAGGACACTTTTTTTCTAGTGCCACTGCCTCTCACACGTGAAGAAGTGGTGCAGTAGTAGCGGAGATGAAGAACTTGAAATTAAATCCCTCTGTTAGCCACATGCACAAACATTTTTTGAAAGTGGCTAAAACTTTGAATACAAATAAAATATAACATGATATTTAATGACTTAATAAACAATTTGTTCATTATGAATTAAGAATGATTCAAGTTTATTAAGTACAATCCAACCCTAACTCCTAAATTAAGTAGTTACTAAGCCTGAATTATTCTTAATACATCATAAGTAAACCACTTGTTCTACCAGTATTGATCACTGTTTATCTCTTTACACCCTGGACAGAAGTTAGACATCTTCCACTTGCAGTAGTGTCAGCAAACTGCTTCTGAACTGAGCCTGAACTTTGATCTTGACCCCAACCATAACGTCACGTCAGACTGGAATATTCATGGTGTTGTCAGCTCTTTGTATTTATGAGACATGTTCTGTGGTCTTATGTGTGTTCTGTTCTTGATGAGTACATGTCATTTACTTCAGAATCAAATAACTACAATAATCAGATTACACAACAATTAGATCTGATTTTTATTGTGTTTACATGCCTCTCTGGTAACATATCAGTTCAATAATGGATTTTTAGAGTAGCTGTTGTATTTGTAAGACAGTAAAATGGATTTAGTAATAACTCTTTTTGTTTGGTGTGAACAGGTGTGGGTGTGAACAATAAGAAAGAAATCAGATTACACACATCAGATGGAACTGTTTACATTGTATTTCAGTAATTTGATAACTCCAGAATCAGATAATAACCCAGTTTTTGGTTTCCAGATAAACATATGTTACATGTAAATAAACAAAGCAATTTGTAGATCATATTTAAACATATGCATAACATAAAACAGCCTGCATCATCATTGGGAAGACACTTTAAAGGTCCTGTATTACACAAAATTTACTGAGTTTTGAACCATGTTATACTGCAGTGTTGTTACCTAATCAAAAACACTCAGAGTTGTGTTTTGTTTCATTCACACATTTTTAGTAATCCTTTATTATTAGTCTGTGTACATTTCCAAAGCTTAAAATGCGCTGATCCACCTTGTGATGTCATGATGTGTTTTCAAGTTAACAGCTACCTTTTATCTTTAGTTCAGTAGAGAGTAGAAATTAGCATTTCCAGTGTATGAGAAATTACCATTTTGTTGTACAGTAAAATCCTCCTTATCTGTTCCCACTCT